CCTGTTATGCAGAGACTGGGTATGAGACAAAGCTGATTTTTGTCTTTCAAAACTCTGAGCAGTGTCTGGCATTCTAATAACTGTCATGATAAACTTGACTTTACCAAATAATGTGATATTTTTTATCTTGCCATCCCTTATATATAACCCTCAAAGACATTTCCTTCTGGAGAGATTACCATGTCCTACCAGGAGGCAAGGGCCGGGAAAAGACTCATTTCCAGCACTGCCAGACTTGCTCTCAAGTCACACATGGTGAGATTTGTGTTTCAGTAAAACTAGTGAAAAGCCATGGGTCTGAGCTGGGCTCATTTCCTGGAACCTCTGAAGACCACAGAGAGGACTTGGGCATCTCTGAGCAGGGGCAGCACCTTTTAGGGTTAGATGAAGGCATCTGGAGGACTGCAGAGGGACCCCAAAGGAATACCCTTTGCAGATGGGTTCAGGTACTTCCCCATCCCTTCTGAAGTCTTCTTTCTTTTCTAACTACAGAAATGGGATGATTACTATCCCTGAATGTATTATGCTACTTATAGGATATCAAAATGAGAGTACTGACTGTCACTGAGGAAAAACAGGGCAGAATAAACTTTATGTGGTTAGTCTCTTTGTGGGTTCAACCGCTGTATAAGGCTTTTTAGCTGGGCCCTGCAAAAGAGGACTCCCTCTTATTTTATTTTTTCTGGTTTTGCACAAGGGTGTACACAACAGGTGATGTTTGTTGTGGCTGGACATTCCTGCTGCAATGCAGTTAGTAGCTCACTCCAGAGATACCAAGCTTTTGACCTCAGAAGATTTTTACCTTGGTGTGACAGGGAAGTGGCACTGATGGCATCTTTTGACATGCTGATGAGTGGCCTTGTGAGAGAGCAGCAAGGCTTTCGAATCACTTAGACTATGGTAGAACTATTTTTTTCCTTGCATGCAAAGATAGAGATTCCCTTTACTTAAATTCTGTTCAGACAAGGTAGGTAAGTAGTGAGGAATGAAGAGTGTCTATGGGCCTGGAAACCAGAGGAAGAATAGGTAATGGCATCTATGAAAGCTGCCAAACTCTAGCCTAGTGCAAGATCAGGGAAGATGTATGTCAGTGCCAGTGAGAATAGCAATTTGTTGAAGTGGCAATTTAGGGGCAGAAAGATCAGTCTGAGAACGAAATTGAAAATGTGCATCAATATCTGGCTGGTCCTTCTATAGGTAGCTGAGTAAAAGCACACCACCTGAAAAGGGGAGAGGAAGGATAATACTTTTGACAAGTTCAAGGTCTACAAAGATTTCTTCAAGACAGACAAATGTGGTGGTACTTTGGGGGACTGCCAGAGCTTCCAAGTCAACAATCCAGTTGAAAGTTGCCTGTAGGCTGTCAAAGACAAAACAACAGTCCTTGTGGGGATGCACACAGTGGATCACCAAGAAGATGGCAATCCAGCAGTTGTGCAGATCTGCTGGTAGGAAGCAGAAGTGAGTGCCCAGACTGAGCTGTATTCAGACAGGTCACCTTGCGTGTCATAAAATCACCATCGTAGAAAGCAATCAGGAGAGCTCTCCTCTGCTTTGCACACCTCCATGTGATCCAACAGGTCCTCTGATGTGAGGCTCTTGTGACAGTGGATTATCCCGGCTCTGATCCTTCCGTGCTGTCTGGGAGACAGTTGTTCCCTCCATGAGATGCAACACTCCTGACCCCATTAGGCTGTTTGCAGCAGAGCTGATGTGTACGAGCGCTGTCCCAGACAGGTTACTGGGAGCTCATTTCCTACCATGTAGCACTTCCCTGTCTCACACTGTGGTTGTCTTGGTCTTGCTGCCTCTCCGTAGGTGGAGCTGTGCCAGGACGGCTCAGAGAAGTGGCACTGCCTTAACCCAGTTCTTATTGTAACAAGAAAGAATAACATCTTCTTTACTCAGTGCTGATGCAGTGGAATACTGCCAAACCCCTGGAAAGCCTCCAAATCAGCACATTTCTCCTTCCCATTAAAAACTAATACAGTACTAGCAAAACAGAAAGCACTGGTGACAAAAACATATTTTTCCCACACTCTGAGATCCCAATTTACATGTAAAATAAACATTGAATACAGATTTAACTCACTTTTTAGATCTTCTGATGGTGTATAATAGGAATAACACCTCCTTTAAAGTAAACTAGAAAAAAGGCAGACTTTCATGCTCTGAATTAAGATCTCAGCTCACAATTTCAGCTTCCTAGGCACACAGCACTAGTTTAGTTCCTAATTTCCTCTCGAGTGACTTAACGGTACTATATTGCTTAATTATAGCAGTTGCAAACTCCATCCTCTAAGAAGTATCACTGGGACCCAAACATCTGCAAGATTTTGAAGGAGGAAGATACCACATAAAATACCCACTTTCGTATTATTTTGTGTTTATTAGTCCATCACACAGCATAGCTACTAAGCAGACAGAACATTCATTTAAACAAGAATTAATGGTAAGGAAATATAGAACATTAAGTTACAAGAACTCTCTCTTCTCTGAAGACTCAGGCTACAGAAGAGGGCACTTGGATATAACGAGATTTTAAACAGTAAAATACAGCTGGACCAGAGATCCTAAAGGTGGCCTATATCTAACAGATCATCCTACCTCATTCCTCCCCTGGACCATAAGCATTGTTCTCAGCTGCTTATTTATTGCTGTTTTGCCACATCTTCTTTTAAACGTCCAAGAAGGATTCCCCTCAACACAAAACTGGTTTTGATGGGAACAAATCAAAGATGACTATGAGGAAATAGCATTTGTCTGATAAGAGTCTCCACAATGTTTGAAATCTTAAAGCCTGATGAGTAGGAAGAAATTTCAAAATGCTTTAATGTAGTTACTGTTGCTATAGAAACCATTTCCTGGGCACCCATACACCCTTGTGCATTTGTCTCACAGGGTGAGACAAATGCCACCCAGGGAAAGAGAGCCTGTGGGGCTGGGAACAGAGAATGTGGGGGAACTCACAGAGGTTCCACAAGACCCTATTGTTTTGTATTGCCTTCTCTGGAAAAGGTGTTTAAAAACAGACAGCTGGGGAGAGCCTACCAATTCCCAGCGGAAGAGAGGAAAATAAACATCAAGATCCAGAGAACTAAATTAATCCTGATGGAGGTCCAGTGGAAAAAGGAGATCCAAAGCACTTTGTGTTTTGCTGTCTGAAGAGATTCGTCTGTGTGACCCACCTGACCAGATATTTCCTAAAGGTATTGGTTTTTTCAAACTTCATTATGAAAAATATTAACTACTGATCTTAAGGGTTTTGTCTGCACTTTCTGAAAGTGATCAAATAGAAAACAGCTGAAGTCTTCAATCTTCTTGGGATTGTTCTGACTTTTGGAGTAGTTGGATGACAAACTCATGGAAAGGCATGAGAAAGCATGTTGGTAATGGAGAAAAAACTTAGCCTAAGGCATTTCCAGAGTTTTCTCTCCTTGCTGTGTTATGTTGAATTATTAGAATGTTAAAACTGAACAGGTAGTGCTTCCTTTTCCCATCATCTTCCCCAAGCACAGTGTTTAAGTGGCCCATTTTGAAAGGTGGTTTTTTTTGTCTAAGCTGTGTGTATGCAATTGCAGTGAGGTCAATGAAAGGTCAGGCAATGCCAGTCAGCTGGGAGGTCAGGCGATTTCTTTTCTGTTCCCTGGAAAGAAAATACTTACCTCTCAGCAATCACATTTCATGTGGGAAGGAAGAGGAATCTGAATGGGGAATTAGAATTTATGCATGCAGCTCCTATTAATTGTTAGGTTGGGTTGTGGATATTAAAATTTGCCAAGACATTTGAAAAAGTGCACACTGCCGTCAATAGAGCAGCAGCACAATTCTTCCTTTTCAAAATGCAAAAATGTCATAAATAAACACACAAATCCCCTAAAATAGCTGATGACATCTAACCCCAGTTGGTCTTCTGCTTTGCCAAAACTGTCAGCTAGACATAAGGAGCCTGTTGCTGCTGGTGCCTCTGTGTTGGTCTTTTTGCCTCCACTCTTTTCTCCAAAGATTTTCTCTGGAACAGGAAACTGTTAGCATAAGACATATTGAATAACTGTCTTCTGAAAAACAGTTTCAATTCTCTTTCACTCCGTAAGAAAACTCACTATGGTGAAGAACTTACATGCTGCCCTTTGTGTTTTTTAATGAAGACACCTAAATGTTCTCAGTATTCTTCAGAACTGGGCCCCTCCTGGAAGGAATTTAAGATTAATCTGTCTTCACAAGAAAATATTCTTATATATCACTAATGAAGTCTTTAATAGAATTTTGCTACCTACTTTTTGCATGTGTTCTTCAAGCATCTTGGCTGTCTTTCCTGACAGCTTTGAAAGGACAAGGGGACATCTTTGGTTTATAGACTTCAAGTTGAATATTGAGAACCACCAGAAGAGCTAAGAACGATTTTAGGCTGAATCTACTTTATTCACTAAATAATGCTATTTCTGTTTGATCAAAGCTATTCCATAACAAACCTGAGACTGAATTAATGAATTGAGCCAAACAAGTCTGAAATTTTTAAAGACTTGTAAGTCAAATGTCTACTAGCTTCCAGCAGAGTACTTCTATGAATCTTGAAAGTGAGCATGGCATCCTCTCTAATTTCTTAGATTGTGTGCTTCTTCTGGAGATTGTTCAAAAACATAATGAACTGTTATTGCCACTTTTAATCTTATTAAAGTGAGAGGAAGAGTGTGCTACTTGCCTCTAGGCTTTTTGTAAAAGTAGCCTCACATTTTTATGTGGTCTTTCTTAAAAGTCATGCAAGTGGCATCCAGGAATGTGCCTTGGAATAAGGGGGTTATATATAAAAAAGGGTTATACAAGGGTTATATATATAAAGGGTTGTACAAAGCATGGGCATAATGAAATAATAAACACGAATTTCTAGGTTTTCACACTTTTCTTTCATTCCACTTGATACATAAGGACAAGAATAAATGTCTTACTCATTTTTTCTGGAGATCACCTTGGTGGGCTAAAGGAGAACACTTCAGAACAACCAGATTTATCAGCCTTTAATTTAGATGCTGAATAACAGAGATCTTTTTCCCTAGTCAATTTTGGGTATGGTAAAGAGATTCTACAAAAAAAAAAAAAAAAAGTAATGTCTTTAAATCCTCTAACTAGAAGTATGTTACCCTCATTTTTTCAGGTTTAGCTTCTGTCAGGTTTCTGACACATATACCAGCTCTGCAGTCAGCTGCACACAATCCTGTAAAATCAAGACAGACACAGTTTACCCTTTAGAACAAAAATTTTAGAACCTTTAGCCCAACCCACCTTACTAATGGTTTATAGGGGTAATAGATTTCACATCATAAAAATAAATATATAGATTTAACTCCCCCCCAACCCCCACTTGTTTCATGTTTTCAGGTCAGTTTCTACTCTATTTCTAGTTCCCACAATAAATACATATTGAGTGCTCAGTGCACACATTTAGTGTTTTTTCTCCCTCTCCCATTCAGTCTCTTGCCACTGACTTTTCTTGGTTTCCAGGTTATATTAAGGCTTTTGGTTTGTGGCTGTAGGGAGAAATCTCAGTGCAGACATGGAGCTTAGCAAGGGAGGGCTGTGAATAGAGTCAGCCAGAAATACTGACAGCAAGGTAGAGGTGGGCAGCAAGGGACGGGAGAAGCAATTGACTACTGGCAAAGCCGAGGATTAAAAACATATCATTGGGAAACAAAACCAGCAGAATATGAGATTCTATGAAATACTCTCTGACGTAAAATCAGAGCCCCAGTAAAGACTGAAATAAAAAAGTTCTGACTTGCTCTGCTTTATGTAAAATTCCCTCTTTACTTTTCAGATGCAGATCAGGTATGGGCGTTTCCTCTCCTTCTCTTCTTTAAAAGCCAAATTTAATCCATGGTTGTTTTATAGAGAAAACTGTAAGCTGAGGGGGCTTTATAAAAAGATTCACAGAATGAAAGTTTTAGTCTTTACGCAGCTAACAGGAGAGCTGCATGGGCTCAGCTATTGCAACCTTTCTCCTGCAATAATTTTTACTGACCTCAGCTCCAATTTTATGCTCATTACTCAGGCAAACGGCTCATTGTTTTCACTGGCAGCTCTGCCCGAGTATGAAATTCAAGAGGAAGCTTTGAAACTGCAAAGACATTGTAGAAATTCATAACCATTGGACTGATTTAAAGCAAAAGCTGGAGCAGTGATACTGAAATGTGTCTGAGAGCTTGGGACAGCAAAGACCTTCATGGCCAGACACCTGCCAAAGCATCTCCTGGGCTGACCTGGATGTCCTCCCTAAAATGCTAGGAGACGCCTGTGACATTAAGAGCTATGTGTTAAATGACTTTGCAACATCAATACAGGCTATGCACAAGTAAAATCTGCAATAAATGAGTGCCGTGGTGTTCCTGAATGTAAAACAGTGCATTGGGGCATAAGTGATTTGCATCTGAGAAGATGTGTCAGGCATAGAAAAGAATGTAGTAAAGGATTGTTCAACAGCTCCACTCGAGTCCAAGAACCCATCAGAGAGGAAAGGGCTGGGGCCAGAGTGTTCTCTGAAGCTGTAACCCCTGGATGAACAATCTTCCCAGCACTTACGGATTTTGCAAGTTTTCAAGGAGCAGCTGTTAGCAGAGATATGTCTTGCTTCCTTAGCAGGCACTTGTCCTAGCTCTTCTGAAGGAAAAAAGGAGCTGCAGGAAGAGAGCTGGAGCTGCAGCAAGGCCAGAAGAGATCACTGAACATCCTCCAGATGCAATAGGCTGCAGGGAAAGGGCCATGTCAGAGAAAAAGCTCAAGTGAATAATGGAGAACTGGAAAAGTTTTAAGAGAATGATGAAGTAGGGAAGGGAAGCGACAACAACAGAATAAGCACCACTATTTTCATGGATTTTTGGTTGATACTTTGAATCAAAAATTTAATCACCGATCAGGCTCATTGTCAGTCCAGGGATCACCTCAGTTCATCCACACACTGAACCAGAGGTCATAGAAAACAAGGACACGTCTGGTAAAAGGGCAGGTCCTGCAGCTCAGTTAGGTTAATTTGTGGGGTGAGACTCAGTACCCCATGACTGCACAAAAAGTAGGAGCAGCAGAAGCCACTGTTAGGTGGCAGGATCAGGCTCCTTTTTGTCTGCTTTTAGCTCTTTGCATCTGGTAACACAGATTCCCTGTCCTGTCTGGGGCTCTCAAGAAATGGGTAGTACAGGGGAATACTGGTAGGAAATTGAGGTGACAGAAAACACAGTGTTTGTGAGAAAATTGCCCATTTCTAGCAGGGAAATGTGAAAAAACACTTGTTTTCTGCAGGAACGTGTCAAGGTTGTAGCATGGCCTTTTCCCATGGAAGGAGAGCAGTTCCATTTTTCTGAATAGTTGTATCCAGGAGCAAGAAGCAATATCTGCCTCAAGTATTCTGACCCATCTTTTCAACTGAAACAGCTGCTTCCTTTATCTCCAGCAGCTTTCCAAAACCAAAGCCTGTAACAGCAGCATTTCACCTACAGATGTTGCTTTAAGGAACTATTTTAGAAAAACCTTTAGAAAAGGGGGATCCTTTACTCTTCACCACAGATCACAGAATTGGAATAGTTTGGATGGGGACCTTTGAAGACTATTTAGTTCAATTTCCCTACCATGAGCAGGACATCTTCAACTAGATCAGGGTGCTCAAAGCCCAATGCAACCTCACCTTAAATGTTTCCAGGGACAGGGCATCCACCACTTCTCTGGGAAATTTGTTCCAGTGTTTTATGACCCTCATTGTGAAAATCTTCTCCCTGGTATCTAATCTAAGTTGATCCTCATTTAGTTTCAAACCGTTACCCCTCATTCTACCACAACAGGCCTTGCTAAATACAGAGCAAGATGGCTTTTCTTGGGTTCACATGTTCACCTGCAGTGTGTTGTGTGAAGAGACTTGCCTTCTCCTGAGTCCAGTGCCAGCTGGACTTTGGAGTAATGCAGAGAAGGGTGTGAGTGGGCTGAGGAATCCAGACAGCTAGCACCAATCAGTGGGGTGGGATTGGGAATGGGGCACAGGGAAATGCACCTCCTCCATGGGCTAGGCAAAGGGAGACCATCAACACTCCTGTGTGCAGAAGATGACAAAAGACCAGATGTATACAGAGATACCAGCTGCAGGGAGGTATTCCACTTCTGCAGTTGTTGTGGATATCCTACTTGTCCAATTTTTCCTATTGTTTTTAGAAAAAAAATCAAAAGATAGGAATTAAAGGAAAAAAGCCATAAATATTGTGTCTTTTGTTGAGGGAACTCAGACTTGCTTTTACTCCTATTCCCCTATTCTGAGCTTACCATCAAGCCCAACTGGACTAAAAGTCCTGTCCACTGCAGTAGTGTATTAAGTGATTTGGCATTTATCATTGCAAAAAATCTATCAGTAACCAGGCCACATTGCCCTTGGTGGGACAGTGATTTCCTATTTCATCATAAGGCAATTGGGATTTTTTACTGCTGGCTGCTGCTATTTACTCCCTAATAATCTGTTCACAGGCTGATGTAAAGCTGGGAAGAATGTAGAAACCAGCAAAATGTGGTTTCTTAAATGTTTAAGATGGCCAACAACACTGTCTTCTACAAAACTCCTACTTAGAAGTTTTCGATGTTTGTTTGTTCTTTCTGTCCTTCCTAGACATCAATTTCCTCCCACAAGCTCTTGATTTTATTTTCTGTAAGCTTTGATGTACTTTTGCGAGCACCTACCACTGCTTCTTAGACCTCAGCTTCTTAACTAAAGCCATTTATTGATATAGTACATCTCTCAGTGAAGTAGTACATCAATAAATTAAAGATTAGTTCAGTGTGTCAGCTCTCCCAGAGCATCCTGGGAAGCATTTGCCACTCTGGAAGACCGTGGAGGCCACACAACAGGCAAGACAGTAACTCTGGGAGATTTAAGCTTTTGCTCCACGACATCTCCTCCTGCTAAATATTTTTGAAAGTCACCTTTTAAACCAGCTCATGGATTCTGCTCGCTGCTGAACAAACAGGTGGGGTTAAGTTAGTATACTATATAGAGAGGTGTCCAAACCAATTTTCAGCTGTCTCTTACCACATTTTGTTTTTCCTGCTCCCTGATCTGATTTTATCCAGGCTACTCGTAGCAGTAAACAGTTTTGGCCTGTATTTATATGCATCATGTTCCCTGTGTGACTCAAGCTCCTACTGCGCTCCCGATAAATGTGCCTGCAAATTTTCATTGCACCTAATTGTTTGCAAAGGCATGGCCTGAGGTGCATTGATGCTGAAGAGGATGTCATCAAGCTTATATTAGCCATTTATGTGAGACACTTAAATGTTCTTTATTGCTATTTTTGCATTGGCACTCCCGCATTCCTTGGTGTTTATTTCAGGATTTTGCACTATTTACTTGCTAAGTTTTATGCCTTGACCTTGCAGTCAATTTACAGGATTATACTTTAGACAGGTTTTCAGAATGGGAGGTAAAAAAGGAGAGAACAGAGCCAATATTTGCATTCCTAGACAGATGCTTTAGGTACAAATGTTCTGATAGCAGAGCAATTCCCATTAATTTGATTTTGGAGATGCAGGGTTGTCTGTACTACGGCAGATGAAAACTTCAATTTTGGCTTCAGTCCTTTCAGTATGAAAATGGCAGCTTGTTCTTTGAATACATATCCACTTCGTGCATCCCTCGGTGAAAATGGACATGGGACAGCAAACTAGAAGTGTTTTGGGCACAAAAACCCCTTGGTTAGAAGAAAAATTATGTCCATTAGTTCCCTCTGGTATTTTGAACCAGTTACTTGAGGAACATAATTTTTTTTCTCTGTTTTCTGGCTGCTGGTGAGACAACACAGATTTCTTCTGAGGCAGCACTAGGATGGTGACAACTACTATGAGGGACCATAGCTCAGCTGTGTTAGGTGTTATTATAAGAGAGTGTTTGTGGTTTGGGGGAGGCCTTCACAAGCTGTTCCCTTCTACTATGCATTATTGGTGCTGAGCTAGTAAGCAGTCAGTGAAGTCTCTTGGCTGGGTACAGAAAACTTTTGAAACAGAGGAATGAATGATTTGTAGTAGATAGACCTTGTTAATGAACATTTTGTTGTGCACAGACACCCATGTTAACACATGAATGTGGCCATTTGTATGAAGAGCAGTCCTTCTCCAAATCTTCACAGGGAACAGAATTCCGTTTGCAAATGTTAGTCAATAATGAATATAAACAGGGACATGAAGAGGGCACTTAGATACCATGGTGATGGGTACAGGGTAATGGTACACACATGGCCAGACGGCTTGACACAGAAAATTGGAAATGAATGAATGATCCTTGATAAACCCTTACCAAAAACCTTTCCTGAGTACCTAGCCCAGACTGTACAAGGGATGACCTGTAAAGTCATCTCAGAAAAGCTCTGTAGCTATTAAAATATTTTGTGGCAAAATCATTAGCAGAAATACATCACTCAGGTTTGGAGCATTTGAGAGCCCTATGTTTTGGTGAAACTTTAGACTCTAAGGATTGTTACTATTATCCATATTACTTGTCAAACGCAACCTGATGGTGACCAGAGTGCCTCAGAGAATGGAAGCTCTACATGCCCAAGCACATGGTCTCACAAAGTTTTTGAGTTAGTCATAGTGACTGGGGTTATTGTACTAATCCTCAACTGCCGAGGAGTTCCGGAGTCTGAAGGACCAGCAACAAAGAAGAAATGATTGTATTAATTGCCTACCTGGCATTCAGCAGTGGCCAAGCTTTCTCCTATTGCTAATGGATAAAATAGCAGAAAATTACTTAAAAAGGATGAGGCTTCTGCAAATTATGTTTCTGTCATCCCTTCACACAGAAGAGAAATACCTGATACCAGGAGGTAGTTGTGCACTTAGCTGTGGTGGGCTGAGAAAAATTCATCTCAGCTCCACTGGGGAATCTGCCTCATGAAATCACCTCAATTTGTAGATTATCTTCATCTGGTTGAAACTTCTCTGAGCTAAATTTCTCAGCTGAAAATGAGGATACCCACATTGAGAGTGTAGTAGATATTTTGGTCTAAGTCTCCAGGGAGATGTTTTTGGTGTGCCCCAGGTGTCATCCCAAGGAATGAGTGGAAACCCCTATGTAAGACACCAGCAAAATGTGCTGTACGTTCCCTGGGTAGACAAGAAAGGAATCAGGGAACTGTTAATATCTGCCTCTCAAAGAATTACCCACATTAGTCCTGGTGTTTAATTCTGCAATGTTTCCTAAGAAATATGACAAACAACAGTACTTGGACCTGCCTTTCAGAAAAGCTGGAGTACAGGTAAAATTACTATAAAAACAGTTACATGCAGTGCTGACTCCTCTGCCACTGTGCAACTCTTCGCTGCAGACATTTTCTATGTACTCACACAACTAATTACATAATTAGGATATAGACATTTATATGTGGGGCTTTGGAGATTTATCCAAGTAGATCCTTCTGCTGTGTAGTTAAACATGTAGTAGTTACCAGTTACTAGGAACTTTCCCCTATACAGGCCATTGGTGAGCTTCTGTTAAAGCTAAAAGTAAAATGTAAAATGTCAAGCAACCACCTCTGACTCACACTTGGGAAACTGAGCTGCTGCTGATTAGTATCCCATTTACAATTAAAATCTGGACTCCTTTCCTAATTTTTGTTGACGTGCTGTTGGTCTGTGAACTCCTAGTAGACAACCTGGATTTTTAAATAGTCCTTGCTTTGACTTCCAATTACCATACAATTAACAATTCTAACAATGCTGCCTTTTAATTTCACTGCTTGCATTCATTTTTCTGTGTGCTCCTAATTGCCATGCTGGTATATCACTTTTGGGCTCTGGCTTAGTACATCAGATGTCTGTATTTCTATTTAATACACAGAAGTAGCTAGTTTATTGTTTCGATATTGGATATAAGCTCTGTATAGCTTCATAAGCTACTCTTCCCTTTCCTTACTCAGCTACATTTACTTGGAAATACCACACATTGATTTAATCACCGTGTTTTTGGGGCAGAAACACCCTTCTGTGTGAGTCTGTGCCAAAGGTCCCAGAGTCCCGAGCTGGGCCACAAAGGGAGAGCTGTGCCTTCGTGGATGAAACTGCTCAGGTATCTCAGTCTGTGGTGTGCAGCTCTTGACTGTCCCCTTCTGTATCTCTGGGAACAAAAGGTTAAAAAAAACCTTGCAAACCCAAGAAATGCAACAAAAAGGAAAATGGCCCATTGCAATGGAAGCCAGTAAATTTTTCAAGACTTTCTGACTCTTATAAAAGATTCTGGCCCATCATGTTTGATACTGTTCTAATAGCCTCAAGACTTTGAAAACAGACGAGGTGCCAGGAAAGCCATGGGGACATGGAGCTGAGTCGGAAGGAGCAATGCCTCATGGAGACCTGTGCTGCCTCTGGTGCTGCCCAGCAGCACCCTGCCTCTGCAAGGGAGGTATCTCCCTGCAGGACTCACACTAGGCAAACAACCAGCAGTATGGTTTGGGAACAGATGTCTGGTAGAAAAAAAAATATGGGACAGGACCCTGGAAATTGTTATGATATTGCTTCTTCATTTTAAGAAAAGAATGACATTAAATTGTTGTCTATCTCCAACCAGCTTTGCACTAAGTGATCCAAGGGATCCCTTCAGCGCCATGTTTCCATGAGCTGCAAGAACAGTCAAAATCCACTGTGGAGAGTGTTCCATTTATGGTTCATTTGGGTTTGTTTATTGTTACATTTTCCCAGGCTGATGCTATGTTACTTTTTTCCCTAATGCCGTTCTTGCTTCATACAAATACTCAGAGCTTTCAAGAAGAAAAGTATTATCTATTACTGTGCTCAAGAAAGGTATTTAGCAATCCTAGGTGCTTAAGCTGGTAATTTGACTGGTATTTAATGGGTGGACGCTTAGACTGGTAATGTTTGTTTATTTTACAAGACTTCCCCAGTAAACCCACCCTTCTTGCTACTTCTAATCCCTAGCAGAAGGGATATGAGAAGATTACAAAAACTGCCAATAATTTTCAGGACCAAAATACAGTCTCCTGGTACCTCCCTGATCTCTTCATTGTTTTGTTCCAGCAAAAGGCCCTTGGTAGCCAGAAGGACAGTGGTTCCTGAAAGGAATTTCAAAAAGTGCATAAAGTTGATATCTGCTTAGAAGTAATACAAAACAGGAGCATCTGCCAGAGACAGGAGCATGTTGCAGGCTTAGTAAAACAGCAGGGGAACCTGCTGTTGACCAGATTTGTCCATATCAGTGCAGGTGTCTCTGCAGTTAATAAGAATTACTATTTACACTTGTTTTCAGAGATTTGGAGACATGGGGATAATATAGATAGCCTGTAAGTCATAAAGAGCAAGTAGATACGACACATGTTCCCATTAATGTATAGTGTTACTCCTTAGAGTTTGTGATATTGAGACATTATGAAGTATGGTATGAAATACAGATGGCTCTGAATCTTGACTGTATTTGTTTAATTATAGCAGAATATATTCTGAGATAGATTTTTTTATCCTATTTTCAAGATGAGAAAAAGGATGAACAAAGTTATACTTAAACTGAATGTGTTCAGAATTACGGGGATGCAGCAGCTGGATGTAAATGGCATTTACTGTTTACCTTCAGAATAAAAAAAAAAATCCAAAGTGAATGTTGATGCATAAACAATATTTTTTCTTTGACAAATTGTGTTCTGATTAGTCAGTAGATGCACAGGCATTTTTTTGTTGGTGTAAATGAGTCTGTCTCCATGCATATTGGCACTGCAGAAGCAAGGCTCCCAGATGTTTCTGTCTGGCTGCTCTGGACCTGAAGGGAGAAACCAGAGCAAGGTCTTGGGATGTAATAAAGGGAAACCCCTCAAAAAAGGAACTTACCAATCTTGCTACTACTTGGAACCCAGAGAAATCAGGCAACAGCTACAGGGTCTAGGAGTGGCTGTTTTGCTTTTTTTTTCTTTTCCCTCTTGCCAGCAGTAGCTTCACCCTGTATGTGCTCACTGTCCTGGCTTTGCTGGCCTCTGATACAGGCAAAGTAGTGGTCATGGCTGGACAGTACAGAAGTGGAAGTATTAGAGCATCTGCATGCATTTGCCTCCTACTGTGCTGGGGTAAAAAAAAACCCAAAACAGCACAAAGACATTATCAGATGTGTCCAGTTTCTGTGATGAAATAAGCATTAGTGACTATTTCCCTTTTTGGTCTACTCTCAAGTATAAAATAGGATCACTTCTACTAAATAGCACCCTTTGTGGTAGGCTGGCTGCATTCTTGTTCTCCAACATAAATTGTAATTTTTCTCCACAGTATCAGGTGGGAGCAAGATGAAACCTTCCTTCTAGGAAGCTGTATACTGTATAATCTATAATTTTTCCATGGTTTCTTACTCTGTGGATTAAATCCTATCCTACCAGCAAACACACACAGAAGAAAATCACTGAGTAAACTACACAGCTGGCTTTTGCCCTGGCAGTACAGAGGTTACCTTAACATGTGTGGTACAAATGGCAAGAAACAGCCTTTGGTTCGCGTCTCTCACTGGTTGGTCCCCACATGATCTGTCACCTAATGAGGAGGCCTTGATCCCCTGGTTCCCCCTCCATTCCTCTTAGATCAGGGAATTTGGAAAGGGGAAAACAGGAAAAAAGGACAGACCAACCATAACAGTTGATTTTCCATGATCAGAGTGGCAAGAGGGATGGCAAAAGAGGAAAAGGAGGACCTTCTGACTTGGGAAAAGGCTTTAAAAAATAAATATGTAGAGCATGTGAACATGTGTTGGTGTGGAAGATGGCGAAGGGTCAAGAGAGAAGCCTGAAGTACTTTGTTCCATTTGGATATTTACTACTCCAAAATGCTGGAAAGGGATGATATCTTTCATACTTGATTTTTTCAGAAGTACAAAGCAAATCCTCTCTGTATTAAACAGTGAAGAGCATTCTTGAGAGTAAGGACCCTTAAAGACTCTTGTGTTTTGTTTTGTTTTGTTTTTTTCCTTCTGGGCAATGAATGACTAGTCCCTTGACACCACTAACTGTTTATGTAGAAAAGCTAATTTTACTTCTGCCAATAAAGTTCTCTTGCCAGTCTGAGTTTCTCATTAAAATTAATATTCTTATTGTATGTCCCTGTCCTTTCCCTCGCTGAGAAAGAAGCTAATAATCTTTCATTCAGGGCCAAATTCCCACTTCTTCCCCATCCCAAAGCAGAGCAGGGGGAGAAGGTAATTGCATATGGAAAGGCACATTGGCAGGAACACAGTTCTTCAGAGATGTGCCTTATTTCATGGTTAGGAGAAGTATTTCAGTGGCTGTAGGAGACCTTAGTTCACTTCTCTACTGGAAAAAGCTTCAAGCTTGTATCTCATGGGGGAATACCATAACTAACAGGCCAGGGACTGCGTGGGATTGTTCCCAATTTGTCACCAGTGAAGCAGCTCAATTTTGTAAGAGAGAATTAAGTAGCCAGGGAGAGCAAGTATGGAGGCAAGGCAGGGGGATTAGGACACTCACTTGGGATGTTTCAGTTCCTGCTCTACTTAATATGAAAATTTCATGGAGTCTTTACATGAGAAGAGGTGTTATTTCCCTCACTTGCTCTGCCTGGTGTGATGCTGGAACTGTTGAGGGAATACTTGCTGGAGCATTCATCAGGGGTGGAGAGGATAAGGTGTTTGGAGGAGCCTGCTGGCACTTTTTGTGAAATAGGTGGGACTGTTTCAGCATCCCAACTGTGTGATGCTCACCCATGCATGGGGACACGTAAAGCAGAAAGGGGAAAGCTGGGAACCAGACAGATTTTGTTTTAGCAGGCCTGGAGGAGAAATTCAAACCCTCTATGGTTCTAGCCTAGGAGGACTGTGTGTCTAAGCAACCATGCACACCTGAGGCTTAAGTTTACCTGCATAGGTAAACCTGAAATCGCCCTTCAGCCATCACGGGAGATTATTCTACCCTTTCACACACACAAATAACATTACCACAGTGCTGTCCTCATGCCTGAGGGAAAATTCCCCTTTCCTAGGCAGACTAGTTCACACCAATTTTCTCTCTGTACTGTTCAAGCAAAAAGTCCTGCTCAGGGACAGCAGGATGGATTAGAAGCATGGCTAGAAGAAATCATCCTATCAGGTGGAACCACAATAAATATGAGCCTCTGCTTCCTTTCCTCTTTTACATCTTTCTGCTGGCTTTTGGGCTTGATTTTTGAGGAGTGTAACAAAAGGGTGGTTTAGTGGTATCTTAGAAGTATGCTTGGCAGTAAGACCCAGTCTTTCAAAAATTGTCTAGGAAAGCAATTCCTTACAACACTGAGAACATCACTAATGCTAAATATTCCTTTAATTCTAATTTTGAGACACTTGCCAATCTTGTAAATTAAAGATTTATTGCCTGAGAGTACTCAGATCACAACCTAACACACGTTTAGCTGCTTTGTTCCATTCTGTTTGGAGTCATTCCAGAGGCTAAGCCCCTGTATTACAAACATCACCAATGCAAAGATTGAATGATCGATCAAAGCAATGCAGATTATGAATTCTTCTATGCAGTCTTCCCTAAAAGGGATGTAGAGAAGAAGCTATTTTTTTTTTTCTGTCTATTTTTGGCAGACAGATTTATGTCAAAGACACCCTGAGACTGTTTTGTAACTACCTGTGTCCCTTATTTAAGGAGGTAAATTTTACTAGGGTAAATATTTTTCAAGTGAATGAGAAAAACGACATAACTAAGACAAGACACAGAAATAAAATGTTCTGCACAATTCGTCAGGATAGATCAAAGACAGCAAAGGGAAAAGGTATTTCTAACTTCAGAAACTCAAGAATAAATAGACTGTTACCGATGCAAACTCCCTCAAGAAAACAAATAGGATGCACTTTTGCTCTGTTTTGAAATTAATTCTAAGTCCGAGGAATGGAATACATAATGTGTGTAATAATTTCAATGTGAATCCCAGGGATATTAGGCATTAAATCTGGGCTGAGATCTTGCATTATAAAAATCATTGAGAGCATGTCATTAACATACATCATTCAGCTACTTACAGTATTTGAAGAGCCTAGGTTTATACAAATACATCAGAGCAATACTTTGCATTCCAGGGCGTGACCAAATAATCAAATTACAAAGAATGAAGCAGTTAGGGCTTGAGACAGCAAGGTAAACACTACAGCTCAAAGGATCCTCTGTTGTGGATCAAGCCTTGCTCTCCACAGACAATCTGCAAAATAAAGGAATAAATAGGTGAGACTTCAGGGATGTCTTTTTCAGACTCTGTAGATATCATCCAAGACTTGTACACAGAGATCAAACCCAGCAGTCCATCAGGAAAGAAAACAAGCCACTTCAGGTGCTGCTCCACTTGTTCAATTTGCCTCTCAGCTACTCAGTTTGAACTGTGGCTGATTATTGATCATAATGTTTTCCTCCTCACAAACTTGTCTCTCCTTATCAGTAAAGAATATCCACCCTGTCGTTCTACATCACTTTTTATGTTTCTGTGAGTTTTCCCTACTCAAATGTATGTTGTTTTCTATATACTGCAACTAGGGAAAAAAGTGTGTTTATGGAAGAGTTTTGTAAGGAACATGGCAGAAGATCCTTTTGAGCCTGGATCTTTATGTTTAAGTTCTCTGCTAGAAAGCATGGATCTGTTATTACTGATCCTTTTTACTGTATTTTATCTCATCATTAAGGTAGGAAGTTTTGTGACTCCTTTAGACGTGAGCACGTAGACAAATTTCTATATAACTCTAACTAGGAGGGTAAACTGGTGATGGAGATTGAGTATTTGACAAAATATATTTATTCAAATACATGTAGTATATTTAAATAAATGTACCAAAACTTGATTTCTTGACATAAGAAGGATCCAGAGACAGGTAATTTCCTTGCTTGAAGCTTCTTTGCAACTCCCCCTGAAAAAGAAAAGTATCCTTTCTCTTGCTCTTGGGTTGACTTGTGTCTTGTCTACTTGGGTTTTACACTGGTCCCCATTTTTATCAGAAAAACTACCAAGAAAAGCCTATTTTCTGTGTCAGCTTTTTTCTATTTTGGGTGAAAACACATGTTTATCTCCCTCTTAAAGTTATCTTAAAGGCTGATAGCTAGACATAGTGGTCTGAAAGACAACCTGACATGTCCTTTCCCTCAACTCAGATCACTGAAATGATGCCACCTTATTTTAGGCAAAATCATGATAAAGTTTTCCCACATTTTAACAAAACAGAATAACATGAAGGTTAAGTGTCCCCATATTTATAGTTTTGTTTCAGCTAGTCTGCATCTTCAAAAGGAACTTTCAAAGATTGTATTTGGAATGCACTTTTCCTATTGTTACTAGGTATCATAAACTCTATCTCACTTATTAGTTCATCTATTACCTCAGTTGCTCACATTTCTTGTTCAAATTACAGAGGACCCAGTTTTTGAATCTGTTTTTCCAGTTTTGGATGCCTTCACATACCCCAGATATTTTTCTCCATTTGAAATCAATTAGGGAGTTCTGTTTTGAATCTCCCAAATCCCCAGTCTTTTTTGCTTGTCTGGTCTAATAAATGTAAGGTTTGAGGCAATGTCTACAATTCCTTCACATTTCATCAATTCTACTACACTTCCAAACCCCAAAATTCCCATTATTGTTGTTAGCTGTCCAGCTTGAAATGAAAATGGTGTGCTGCTCCTTTTACACAAGCATGAGTTTTGCTTGCTCCATTTGATGTCCATCCATTCCCTGAGCTGAAAGAGAAGTTCTCAATGAAGCACTGGTGGTCTGCCCAGGTGTTGTAGTTCAGGAATGGTACTCCCCAATTTAGTGCTCCTACCCACACATTCCAAACTATGTGCCATCCACTCACTCCCCTCTTCCCTGTCCCTCCCCTGCATTGGGCTGGGGAGGAGAACTGGAAGCACAAATGGTAAATATCATGGGTGGAGTTTAGAACAATTTACTGGAAACAGCAATGAGATAAGGAAATGCAGTAACAGTGTCAATATTATAGCAGGATACAAAAGGCAAACAATTCACACGATTGTTCACCCTTGTACTATGAGGAAAACCCTGACAATACCTGACCACCCAACCACGCCACCATTGACTGAAAGATCATCCCTTTGCCCTCCTGTGGAAATGAAGTGAGGTGGTATAGAACAACCTCCAGGTTCTGGCCATACTTCATTTCAGAGGCACAATTTTCAAATGAACTTCAGATTATTCTCAGTTTCATTTTACTGGGCCAAATTTTAAATTTTATTATTTTTTAATAACATAATGAGGCACATTTTTATTCTTTTTCCCTGTTACAGAACTGCACTTAAAAAATTTGCAGTGACTGTCTTTCATCTCTGTCACTGGAATCTACTTCCTCTGGTCTTCAAGTGCAGGAGAAGAATCTCAGTTTCCATGGCAAACTTCAGAAATCCCTTGCAGTGTCTTTGGCTTCCATTCCCTGACCTTAGTGTAAAAGCCTAAGTCCAGTTGAGCACCTTTGAATCGATTCCTCTCCAGTTTATCCTTGAAAGCCCTCACTGTTATCTGCACATGCCAGGAACTCAAGTTTCTGCAGATTCTCTTGCAGTTCCTGTAGGACTTTTTCTTTCCTTTTTCTTTTTCTTCTGACTTTTAGCTGGGCCTGGATCAGCTCAGATCTGTGGATGGCTTTAATCAAGAAGCAAAGGTTTGCCTGAAGCCTTTTTTTTTTAAATTAGAGCTGTGGCACTCTCTGGGCACTGTTATTCAGGCTTGCTGCTAGAATTCTTCTCTATGTTCATCAGCTTTCATTCAGTCCATAATGCTATACTTAGTAAAGTAAGTCTCAAACAGAGTTTTTTCTAAAAGATATTAGGTATTTTCAATATTTGACCTCAGAAAGCCCAGCCTCTCCTATGGGACCCTTTGACTCTGGCAACCGAGTAGATGAGGTGCAGTAAATGTTTTTACCTAAGCTCTCTGGCTGGCCCAACTGAACATCCAGATGGCTGGCTACCATGATGGGTCTGTGACTAGACATTTCTTCCTGGAGCTGAACTTTAGCCAGTGAGTCCTTGTTCCTCTTCATCCCTGCTAGTGGGTTCCCAGCTGGTGACTCCCTGCCTAGAAGCAGCTATGGCAGTGTTGTTGCCCTTTACCTTTTTGTCCTTACTAATTCAGACTGGCCTTCTCAATTTGTTAGTACATTTTGCAGTCATTACTCCAACAGAAAGTTCACCTTTGCCTGCAAATCACTTCAGCCATTTCTGAGAAACCTCCAGATACTTCTGTAATTCCTTTTGTAAAGTTTCCAACTCTTGTTTTAGCACCTTCTGGTCTTGCTTTAATTCTTTTTGGCCAGTTTTGTTTTCTGAGAGCTGATTTGTTATTGGTTCAAGAAGAATATGAGCTCATAATTTCTCTGTTTGAATGGCGTCCCAGTGTTGACACCAGGCTTTTATCTTGTGACCTGACCAGGTTATTTCAATTAGAATGAGAAATTGATGAGAGAGATACTTCAGATACAATTCTGATAATTTATAAGAATGTACAAAGTTCTGCTTTTTTAGGGGAAGTGTTAATCATGCACAGATTTCTTGCCCACAGCCCTTTCTGCCAGAATCCTGTCCAAAACCAAAAAAATAAATCCCACTATTATCCTTCCCTTAGGGCCTGTGGGAAGGTCGAAGATCTGCATACCAAAGGCAGAAACACCTTAATGAAGTAAGTATGCCTAGCCAAAGAGTCACAGACGGGACAAAAGTGTAATGTTCTGAAACCAGTGACAAACAAAAAAGTCTAAATAGTGCAGAGTAGACAACTGTGTGATAGCGTTAGAGGTGAAATACATCCTGCTTTTCATGACTCTTATAAGATCATCCCCAAATATGTATTTTGGGCCCCCACATACAACAGAACCCAGGAGACAGGACTGCTCCCTAAGACAGGCACAGTATCTTAAATGAAAGACAACATTGAAATTTAGGTTTAGTACTTATCACCACATAGACAGAGTGTTTCTTCAGCTAGCTGGCAAAATATCTGACAACTGTTGAAAGAATCGAGGAGACAAGACTGTTGGCCAAAAGGGCTTATGAGTTAAGAGATCAAAACAAATTACAATCAATGCTGAGAAGGAAAAGGGCTTGGGAATACAAGTGGTGAGAATCTCAGGATAGCACTCCCATCGGTTTTAAGACAAGACATGAGGAAGGAGATGGGAAAAGCTAGCTCAAATGGCATGAAAGAAGGCAGAGAGCAGAGTGGAAGAAGGGGTCACAGGGAGCACGGTGAGCAGCAGAGTCAGAGAAATATGGGATCAATGAGGGAAACACGATGAAAGGAGTGCAAAGATGAGATTGTGAATGTTCCCCTAACAAACAACAAAGACGGAGTTGATACAACACTTTCTTCTGATTGCTAAATACATTTAAGGATTAATGCCTATTCTGTACCAGGAGAACTTCTGATAAAGAGCACTGCTTATTATAAGTGTTGTTAACTTCTTCACCCTTGGGAGAATACAATCAAAAGGGCAATTTGGGTAAGGCATGTCGAAGACTTTACAGGACTGTGGTGAGAAGTGAATTCTTAGAGCAGAATTCTTGGAGCAGAATTTCCCTACAGGAGATGATTGCTGTCCCAGACACTGACATAATTCCAGTTTGAATGTATCTGCTAGCCTCAGCTATAGCACTTGCTACAAAGAGAGACAACGTCTCAATTTAACAGATCTACAATGATGCAGAGGGGCTTTTTTTTGTTTTGCTCAAAACATATATCTTGAGTTCCAACTAAGAAATTGCTAAAAAACCGTGGAAGATTCTTCATGGTGGTTCATGTGACTAAATACAAGTGAGAAAAAAGTGGCATCTGGAGCCATAGTTGGACTGACTGAAAAAAGAAGGAAAGGTGAGGAGAATAGAAAAGGTCGTTTGGATTAAAAAAATCCATGGTCAGAAGAAACAGTTGTGATATTCTCTGCTGATCATCCTCTTGACCAAAATCACAGGATTGCACACACAGATTCCTGGACAGCATGTTTCTTAGGCTGTGCTAAGTGTCTGGAAAGATGACTCTCCTCTTAACCGTTCCCACAGACACAACAGCAGCCCCAATAGCCCCAGTGAGACATCAGACAAGCATCCCCGACACCCAAGCTGATCTTCCTTCTAATGCCTCACCTCCTTTTCTGTCCTGTGGACTGCACAGTCCTCTCCACTTTCCACAAGTCTCAGACACACCTTTTGTTC